AGGACCATAATACTAAAATTATACAATACTACATGACTGCAGTATTACAATAACATAGTGCAAGAATAATACAGTACTACAATACTTATACGGTCACTCGTACCTTGCGTTGTCTCTGAGACATTGACGGCCAGTTGTCCACTAAAGGAGTTTACACCCATCATGCTGTGGGAGGTGCTGTTGCCTAGTGACGGGATCTGGTTGTGGTTCCTTGGAACGCTGTAGAGAGCTTCAGCGATATCTGCTGCCCTCTTCAGGATGATCTCCTGCACAATATCATTGATCAGTTATTGATCACATGACAATTCAAAGTACTTTACATCAACATACAATGCGTTGCAGTACCATGAGTGACCATAGGGCTGTGAATTATGATGGGTTGTGTATTTATTAATCTTTCCTCAGATTTTTTGTTTATCTTTTATTATGTCATTTTATAATTGTCTCATATTACTTTAAGTGGTTTAAAGTGGCCTGCAGGAGGCGCTCATGTGATGAAACATTAAAACACGTTTGTTTCATGTTGGATCACACCCACAAGACATGTGACACACACATACACACGGCTATTGTTGTTACTACGATTGGATTTACATTCGTTTACAACCTCTGTTCAAGGTTACTCTTTCATTTCACTAGACCTGTGTGTGTGTGTTTTGGGGTGATTAACTCGTGGCTTGAGAAGCGTGTCGGAGAGGATGGAAAGAATATGAAGCCCTCCCTCTTCCATCACTTTCTGACTCATAAAGCTGCAGCAGCTTCGTCCTGTTCACTGAGGGAAATTTTTTTACAGGAAAAACACAGCTGGTGTGTGTGTGTGTGTGTGTGTGTGTGTGTGTGTGTGTGTGTGTGTGTGTGTGTGTGCGTGTGTGTGTGCGAGTTGACCTCTTCATGTTATTGTTAGTGAAACAGGTGAACTTGTTACCTGGTTGTTGTGTGGCATCCCGTACAGCGCCTCCACCAGGTCAGCTGCTCTCTTCAACAACACCTCCTACAGAGGGAACGTCAACACTGATCATGTGACTGACATGACTGAGGAAGTGGTCAGGCTGATGTTAGCTTAGCTCTGATGATAAGGCTAACTGGGAGGGGTCTGCAGCAGAGAGGGAGGGTTCGGGAACAGAGGGGGAGGGGTTTGAAGTTATCGACTACTCTTTCCTTCATTTTCAAAAACCTGACTATGACTTTAAATCACAGCAGAAGACGAAACATGAAATTTGATATGAGGAAGGAGCACACACACACACACACACACACACACACACACACACACACACACACACACAGAACAAAGCTTTAGTCTTTATCTTAATTAAATTCATTTAATCATCTTCAGGAGGTTTTTCAATTAACCCCGCCCCCTCAACCTTACTCCTCTGTACCTTCATCATTCAGTTATTCACTCATCCATCACTCACTCACTCACTCACTCACTCACTCAGCCCTCACTCATTCAGTTGTTCATCCATTCATCACTCATCCATCACTCACTCGCTCACTCACTCACTCACTCACTCAGTTGTTCATCCATTCATCACTCATCCATCACTCACTCACTCACTCAGTTGTTCATCCATTCATCACTCATCCATCA